CTCTTTTTTGTGGTATTCTGTTTTCACATGTGCCAGCACTCAATTACAGAATTGCCAACTGCAGCTTTCCTCTGAACAATTCTTATGACGATGTAGCTGAAAGAACAATACTGGAACAAGTTATTTAAAAATAAGAAAACAGCAGTCAGTATAAGATAAAATTTCCCAGAGACATTCTGTGCCACGTTAACTTAAAATCTTAGCTAAAAACTCAAACACATAGTATTCAGGAACTACATCTGAATGTTACACAAATCATCAAATGTACATGAAAGAAGAAAACCTTTTAGAGGTATTAGCAACAAAGATTTAGTGATTTCAATAGAACAGCGCTTATTACTGCATGATCAACAAATTTAATTTGCCTGACCGTTAAAGAATGCAAGCACTGCAACTGGGCCTTTTGAACAGCTGGCAAATGCAGATTGGCCACTATGTTAAGAATGAACTGAGTTAACATTAAGTGGTGCAATTATAAGAGCTGCAATACCTACAAACAGCTTTTACCAAAATCCTCTGTAGATAGGCTAAAAAAAAAATAATCACAAAACAACACAGTCAGTAAAGAGAAAAAAATACATCATTAAGGTCAATAGTGTAAGTTTTGGCAGGCTATGAAACAGTTGTCCATTTTCTCCATAAAGAAAGATTAAAAAATAGTCTCTTTACAGTTGTGTCAATTCATAATAAATATTTTGGGTCCTAAAGGTAGAAGTACTGGATTATCTGGCAAATTCCTCTTAGGAGGTTTGTTTTAAACTGACAACAACTCCAGAAATTAAATAAAAACTCCTCTGGAAAGGCAGTGAAGAACTAAATTTAAAAATGTTGAATTACAGAACTTTGTGAGAAAATCTTCCAATCTAAAAACCAAAATATAACACTGAAAGCAGTCTCTCAGACTGCTGTAAAACTTTTTACATACTGCAAGATGGAGGACGAGGCTTGCTTCAATTCTTTCTAAAGGTAAAGACTATTTTGTTCAGATTTTATATGCTCAAGAGATAATACAACAATACAACAAAAATCATGAAACTTTTAACAAGACTTTTTGTAACCCAAACAAGCAAAACATCCCAGTAATCAGATTAAAGAGTCTGAAGGGAGTCCAAAGGAGGGCCACGAAGATAATCAAAGGGCTGGAGAGCCTGCCCTATGAGGAAAGGCTGAAGAAGCCAGGTCTCTTCTCCTTGGAGAAGAAAAGGCTTGGTGGGGGGCCACATCACAATATTCCTGTACTTGAAGGGTAGCTACAAAGACGATGGAGGCTTTCTCTTCACAAGGTGACACATGAAGAGGACAAGGGACAACAGGTACAAGTTACACAAGGAGAGATTTCATCTCAGCACAAGAAAAGAATTAATAACAATCATTCACCAGAACAACCTTCCCAAGGATGTGTTGGAGGCCCTGTCACTGGAGGTTTCCAAGATGCAATTGGAGAGGAGGCTAGTCGATCTCTTTTTGGTACCTTTCAAAGGAAAGGCTGGACCAGACAATCCTTTGAGGTTCCTTCCAACCTAGGCTGTTCCGTGATGTTTCTATTAAGACTAGTACAACCCAGGCTGAATTTTGTTTTTCAGCCATAATACCAGAATCTGATTCAGTTTTTCAGATGGGTCCAGATGCTTCTTTATGGTATTCAACTCGTAATCAGTGAAATCAGAATTTATGCCGACAAAAAAAAAAAAAAAAATCACTAAAAAAGACTGGAAACAAAATCTTTTTTGTTTGTTTTTGGGTTGTTTTTTTTAATAATAGTTTAGTCATTAGTTTCACAATTTAGTAATTTTAATCAGTATTATTTACTTCTACAAACAGAGGTATACTCTTCTAGCACTGTGCCCATCATTAGAAGCTGTATGCCAAATTGAGCTGCTAGGAGGACCTTCCCAAGCGGGTAGGCATTGTCAGCTATTAAGCTGCTAGTCCCCTGAATCTTTTACTGCATCGAGAAGTTTTCTGGTTGAATCCTGTACAAAAAATTAACTTTATATGGCCCAAATAAAAAGCTGCCCCTACTCTTCCAAAAAAAAAAAAAAGAAAAAAAAAAAAAAAAAAAAAAAAAAAAAAGGTTTTCCCCTCAACCTTTCACACTTGCTTTATATTTGTTGGCTATGCAATCACTGTATTTGCCCTAAGCTCAGAGGGTGATCTCTGTCCTTCAGAGCAGGTTTGTTGAGACAGCACATCCAAAGGAGGAGTGTGCAGAAGGACCAAGTCTCAACTCTCTGCCCTGGTTTAGCATCCTGAGCGCTACGCAGTTGGAGTCCCTACTTCACAACAAGCCTGAGACATAAACACATAGCGCACACAAAACCCAGGATAGATATTTTCTTTAAAGTAAAAAATTGCTGCACTTTTCAGACCATGTAAGTCTTAAAACAGATGTTAATTCACTTTCACAAAGGCTACTATAAGCCAGCAGTCTTTTCTCCAATTTAAATTAGCAGGAAGTTAAAACAAGGTGCACATACCTGATGTCTTTATAAGAGAGAACTGGGCTTCTTAATATCAAGGTAGCAGAAAATAGTTAAACACACTTCACAGGGCCACTGTGCATTACCCCAGAATTACACTCAGAACCTGTATGTTTAAGACAGCTATATAGACAAGTAGGAGGTAAACAATGCTCTTCACATACTCCCACACTCCCGATAGGTTAGTGATAACCACCAGTTCTTCAAAACTTGAGACTCTGCTGTCCACAGATCAGACTCTTTCGCATTCTGTTGATAACCACAACGAAGTATCCTTTGAATAAAATAAGCCTGTTACTAGTGAAAGTATTGGTCTTACAGGCAGAGATCTCTGACAAAGTCGCTTAACAACCGCAGAGGAATCTCCAAAGATATGTTTCATGCAACTGTCCAAAGGAATAGGGACAACTTTATAATCCTCTACAAAGATGCTCATTAATTAGTAGATATTTGGCATGGAAAGATTCTCCACTCCTCAGGGTCAAATAATCGCCATGGGAACAGTGTCAGGCTGTAAGTCTAAGCAATAGAATTGGTAATAATGGCAATAGCATATTGGAGCAATAACCCCAACTCAAAGGCCACACCTTTTTCTAAGGCATTAAAAGACAGTTCAGCCACTGTGAATTTAACAGAAGCTTTCACTACGGATAGAAATTAATACTTTAAGAATAGTTAATGTGATAAACTCCATTGTCCGCTGCAGGAAAATGAGAATTTACAACAACTCAGAAGGGTAAAAGCAGAGTCCTTTGTGCAGAGGTTCTCAATATTTGGAAACCATCAGCCAGCTCTCAGATACTTTAAATACTGAGCCCAGCAACCTGAAGCTCATTACCAGGTAAGTAATAACAATCACACCCACAAAAGTGCCTCCAAATGCAAGGAGCTGAAGCCCAGAAAAGCCTTCAGCTACAAAGAGGACTGTGATACTCTGATAATAAAAGCCGACTTGGCTCCCTATTCCCCCAAGCAACATTTAGCATCAAAACCCAGCAGCTGCCAAACAACCCGGACCGTTCCTGAACACCGCGCCGCAGAGTTCACCCAGGAAATGAGTTTTTCTTCAAAGGTTTGGGCATCAGTGGAAGCTTGCGGCAACCTAAGCACAGATCCCCAGGCACGCTATAACCTGAAGAGCCAGGAAGCTCACAGGTGCTGAGAAACCACCGCTGTGTGTGTGAGACAAGGAGAAGAGAAGAACAGCCGGGCTGAGGAGGGACGGAAGGCACCCACCGGGATGCCCAACGCTACAGACGCTGCAGTAGAAAAGCCGAGGCTCCTCCACTCTTCTCCTGGGACCGTTCCCAAAGTTCCCACTCGCACACCCACCGCCCCGCTCCCCTTCGGAAGCCTCCCCAAGGCCGGCACAGCCCCGCAAGCTCACCCGGGGCCGGGGCCCGGTCCCGAACCGCAGCGCGGCTCCTCCGCTCGTCACCTGTGTCGCCGCGGGGACTCCAGCTGTGCCTTCACAAAACACACCCCGCCCGGCGGCTCCTGCGGCCCCGCTCCCCACAACCGGCCGGTCCCCACCACACGGCCGGGCTGCCCGCGCCGGCCCGGCCCGCCGGGACCCCGCACTC